GTGTGCGTCTGCGTGTGTGTGTGCGTGCGTGTGCGTGCGTGTGCGTGTGCGTGTGTGCGTGTGCGTGTGTGTGTGTGTGTGTTCCGTGGTTTGATCACACATCCTCGTGTCCCCTTAACATCCAAACATAACGTCACCTCCACGAGGCAGGTGACGACAGCGGTTGGACTGCGCTGTATTTCCTTCCAGCGTCTCACCCGTGCCTTGTACCCTGGCAGTGTTTAATAAACATTGTCACCGACCTCTGCGTGCCTCTGCATTTGGTGGCCTCTCTTTCCGTCCACAGCTGTGATTCTCAACAAGGAAGGAGGCACACTCTGGGGACAGGGAGTGGGAAGCCGAATTTCTAGAAGACTTCTCCCCACTCTGTGTGCATCCCCACCCCAGACTCTGGTGTCTGAGCCTTCGCTATAACCTCTCCCTCTCCTTTTTCTCTCCCTGGCATGGGTGGCAGGTGGAGGTGGGCAAAAGTGTTATGAATGGGAGGGTTTTGTGCCTGTGAATGTGGCCAAGACAGAGGTTTTCTAAGAGGGTTGGGAGCCACTGCTCTGTAGTTAATCCCCTGGTTTAGCTCCGCCCTGCCCTCTTCCTCTTTAAGGAGAGTCCCCACTTTCATAGTGCTGAAGGACCGGACTTACATAGGAGAGCTGGTAAATGCGTCAAAGCCCACGTGGCTCCCATTCCGTGGCCTCCAGTCCATTTGCTGTCCTGTAGGGCCCCTCTGGGGGCCTCTCTGGGTCACCCCCAACCCATGCTGAGCCTGTGACGTCCTGTGGCTTTACGCGTGGTGCTTCCTTTTCTCTGGTTGGATGTTCTGAGCCATCTGGCTTCCTGGTGCTGTCAAGTGGAATACAGCTGTTTCCTAAAACCGCCCCCATGACCAAAGGCCAGCCCCAAACTCCACAGCCCACCCAGCTCTGGGGAGCTCAGCCTAGGAAGAATTTCAGATAGTCCTGCTCACTCTGAAAGAGAGGTCAGACAAGAAAAAATCAGCCCCTGGCATTGTCTACAGCATGGAACAGGTGCCCCCTAAAAGTCCCAGAGGATGGATGGGTAAGTGAATGAATGCATGCATTTGAACGAAGTTGTTCCTCAATGCCAGTCCCTGCCCACTCTGTTTATTTTAGTTTCCTGACTTATAGAGAGAGGGGAGAAAGACACGAACCTCCAACAGGGTCTCAGCATGTCACTGTCCTCCCCGCAGCCTCAGCCTGTGGCCTCCCAGACATGCATTAGGGCCAGGCCAGGGTGTTCAGGTGGACCCGTGAACCGAACCCTTCTCATCCAGCCCCAGAGTCATACGGCAGTGCCCCCACCACCTGCCCCATCACAGTTGGGCCTCCCCTGTCCTCCTTTTAGAGAGACTGCCTTCCCAACTGGAGGCCCCCTGTCACTGTGCTATGAAGGGCCAAGCTGGCCGGGCAGCCACGTTCTGTTTCCGGTCACCCACACTGTACGCGATGTGCAGCAGATCTGGCTTTCACGAGGGCCACTGCTGTGGGGAAGGAGGACGCAGGCCGGGTGGGAGCCCAGCCACCTTGGCGGCTGTCAGTAACTCACTGTGTGACTCCAGGCAAGTGCCCCTTCTCCCTGCGTGTCACTTTCCTCTCGTGCCTGATGCGGGTGGAGGGTGGTGGCTCCATCTTTGACACTGGGTGAGGCGGAGGGTCAGAACCTGCTTTATAATTCCATGCTCTCTCTAATTACCTTGGCTTCCCACAGACCTTGCAGTCAGAGAAGTGCCGTGACACCCAAACCCATACCCTCCTTGGAGAAAGGCTACCGGAGTGAGAAGTAAAAGGGCTCAGAAAGGAGTCTCCAGGTTCCGTGCCCCCTCTAGGTCACCACTGCCCAGAGCCACCTGTGGGAGGTTCAGCCCCAGGTTCACGCCCCATTCTGGGCTAAACATAGGTGTAAAGAGCCCACTCCAGACACAGCTGCATGGTAGCTCCGTGGTACTCTGCCCGCCGAAAGCCACATGGAAGATCAGTCCCTAGTCCTTGCGCTGTCACAGCCTGAAAAGGGAACATCCCTGTCATCCTCCTTCCCTCTGCTGCGCGTCTGTCCTGACTGCACCCCCTGAACGTGGAGGACTTGACAGCCGGATTTTGGCACTTGCGCCTTGCACACCTCATCCCTGTATTTATTTTTAGAAGGAAGATAATACACTTTGCCACCTCCCAGGGAAGCCAACAAGGGAGCTTTCACCTCTTTAGCAAATTATCAGGGTTTTTTTCTTAGGTTTTCATCATAGGTGTGGTGGTTGAGGTGCTGGACTTCCCCGTGGCCGACTATGGTTCAAGTCCTGGACCCAGTGGCTGCAAAGTCACAATAAATAAATAAAAAAATAAATGTTTAAAAAAGAACTTGGAGAGGGTCCAGCAGATGGCATAATGGTTACGTCACTGGACTCCCTGATAGCCAACCATGGTTTGAGTCCTGGACCCTGAGGCTTGAAACTCATGCTGAGCATGTGTGCATGTGTGCTCAAAATCCCAAGAGGAGAACGGAGAAGGGATTGTGGAGTGGCCATTTCCTCTTACGGGGTGTTTTCTCACTTTCTATCTCTTGGTCTCTCCAGCGAGCACACACCCTATAGCAAAAAAAAAAAAAAAAATCTCTAAACACACACACACACACACACATACACACACAAACAAACTTGGAGAAAAAAAAGAATGGATTTAAAGTCATAAGTTATCAGCATAATGAATGCAGGCATATACCAGTTCCCTCAGAATCATCGTGCAGACACTGACAGCCTGCAGAGAAAAGCTTCCTGGTTTCCCCGTCACCCATGTTCTCATCTATCGCGTTGTTAACCACTGAAATACCTGAAAACGAGTGACTCATCCAAATAGAGGCTGAGCTGGCTCTGTGGAGCAGTGGTAGTACCCCGCTCGGGTGAGGCCAGGTCCCACGTGACAACTGTGGTTCAGGTCCCGGATCCGGTCAGCGTGAAACACAGCGGGCACGTGTGCAAATGCCCAGACCCCATAAGCTGGAGGGCTGGAGCAGAGGGGTCATGGCGTGCCCACACCCGGGGGGGGGTGCTTATCTCTCTCTCTTTCATTCCTCCTATGCACACAGTCTCATAAATTTACAAAGACAGAAGCTTATTCGGCTCATGGCTTGGAGGTTCAAGGTCCAGAGACTGCGTCTGGTGAGGGTGCTCTTGCAGATGGAGCCTGCTTGCAGTACCCAGAGGCAGCACAGATCACATGGGGGTGAGGCAGCTGGACCCCACATGGCTGACCATGAGGCTGAGTCGCAGACCCAGTGGCTTGAGAAATGCACTGGGCACGTGCGTGTTTGTGTCCAAAACCCACACAGGCTAAGGGATCATGGTGTGTCCATACCCCAGTGGGTCCAGACAGCCTGCTGGGGAGGCCACAAGAAGGCGACTTCAGGTCGTGCTCAGAACCAACACCTCCGAGGAAGCAGAACCGCTGACAGCTCGGGTTCCTCCTGTTCACCTGGGCACCAGGAGACAGGCAAGTTCTCGGGAAGCCGAAGGAGAGGTTGTGCGCATGCGCACTGCGGGGCAAACGGGAAATGTGTTTAGGTTTCACTCCCGTCAGCTTTGATCTGTCAATTTCTTGGTTTTAGCTTGACAATAACAAAATACACTTCTTAACTATGAAAATAGCCTTTATTATTGAATTTCTTGTGGGGAAGAAAATCTGATGAAGGCGAGCCTGAAACTCGAGCTCCTGGCCTCCTGATCCCTTGTTTGAACGAGGGGATTTTTTTAAAAATTGCAGTGTACTGGATAAGGGCTGAGGTTTGTTGGTTTTTTAGTTTATTTATTTATTTCATTTCTGAGTGCACACGCTTGCACAAAAGAGGAGGAGAGAGAGAGAGAGAAAGTACCCTCACAGGATCCCCGTTAAGCCATAATCCTGTTGAGGGTCCCCCAACCCTGCAGCTGCCTGGCCCGCCTTCAGCCTGAGGGGAGATCCGAACCCGCAGGGGCTATCTGGTCTCCAGCACTGCAGTTCATTACGCTACCAACTGTTTTTATAGGGGAAGGTAGGCTGCCCTCCAGCCCCCCCATGAACCGGACCAAGAATAGGAGGTTAAAAGAGGAAAATGGAATCCGACCCATTTTAGCCCACACAATAGCCAATGTGGGGCATGGTGTCCTGAAGTTGGGGGTGAGTGTTGGGAAGTGGAGGAGCATTTAGTAGAGGAGAGTCCTTTTGCAAAATAAAACTATGGTGTATGCTAGTGTTGTCATCTGAGTATGTGCCTAAAATCCCAGGAGAATGTAGGAGACAGGATTGTGGTGTGACCATCCTCCCTGGGGTGGGGTGGGGGGTGGTGTTAATGTGACCTAAAAACTCCTGGGCCCAGTTAAGAGTCATCGTCTTAATGCCAAGAAAATGGGAAGAATTAATGCAAGGCAAGGTATGTTGTAAGATGAGTAAACGCGGTCTTTGTTAACAAGGCTGCTGGCAGAAGATCAAGTTATTGTTCAGCAAATGTCCTTCTCGAGACATCACCACCACCACCACCTCCTCCATGGGAATCAGCCCAGTGATACCAGGGTTGACCATGTGACTTGCTTTGGAATGGGGAATGGGGCAGGGGGAGTGACAGCTATGACAGTGTCCTCTCATTCTGCAGTTTGCAGCTGGGCCAAGAAGAATGAGAGACACACGGAGAAGATCTGGACCTCACCTGCAGCCTGGAGCCAAGCCCAGCAGAGCCTCGCACAGCTCTGCTGCACCCACCTTGACCAATGTAATTTTTTTTAAAAGAGAAATAAGTGCTTAATACACGTCACTGTGTTTGGGATGATTTGTTACGCAGCATTACTGTAGAGATAGCTAACTGAGTTACTGTCCTTTTTAAAAAATAATTATTTATTTAGTTTTAGTCATTGTTATTATTTTAATTTGACCAGGGAGAGAGAGAGAGAGAGACAGGGAAAGTGAGAAAGCAAGCCACCGGGTCCAGGACTCAAGTCACAGTTGGCCACATGGGAGTCCAGCACCTCAACCACCACCCCACCTGCTGGCCCCACTGCCCTTTATTTCCTGCCACCTCTCCCTAGGTCTGGTCTCCAAGGATTTCTTCTCTGCCTTCTCCCTGTAAAAACTTTTCAACCTAAAGGCCTCTGGTCAAGCCCTTACCTAGGAGCCTGAATCTGTTACAGACGTTCCCTCCCAAACAGATGTGCTGTTCAAGTCGCTTTCTCCTTGCAGAAAGACTTTGCTATCAGGGTGTCAGGAAGGAGCAAGAAGGTGTGAATGCATTTCTAGGCTGGAAACATCTTTCTTTTGTCTGCTGATTTCACACTCCTAGCAGCCAAGGATGAGGAAGACCCCAGCATACAGCTGATTGTCTAGGAAGGCTCGAAATCCGGTAAGAAGGGCTCAGCCAAAGCCGTGCATCTGTTTCATCCTACCATTTGCCTGGTGAATCTTGAATCCCATGGGCACTTCAACGTAAAGTCTGTGAAGGGACTTCTCCCCCTCTCTACCCCTCCCTCAAAGTTTGGCCGGGCCCCCAGTCCGAATGGCAGTATATATTCTGGAAGATGATTAATGTTAGCAGGAGCGTCCAGAGAACCTCTCAGGGCCCTTTTGTTTATTAAATATAAAAACCCATGTTTAAATATAATGTCAAAGGTAAGACACAGACCAACGTGATCCAACACAGACTGTCAGCCTCACCCTTCCATAACTAGATGTTCTTCGGGTTTTGACTTCTGGGCTTAAAGCCTCCAAAGACTTTCCGGGAAGGTTCAAGGTACTCAAGGAAGAGGTCAGTGAAGCCCATCCATTTCTTTCTTTTCTTTAACTAATTTTATTTTATTTACTTATTATTATTTTAACTTGCTACAGGGTATGCACACTCACTAGAGAGAGGAAGATAGCAAGCCACCAGGTTCAGGATCTGAACCATGGTCGGTCATGTGGGAGTCCAGAGCCTAAACCACCATACCACCTGCCAGCCCATGCCCATCTGTTTCTTTCCATTGTCTCCTTAAAGGCAACAGCTGTAACTTTTGCTTTGCAGTGTGCTTCCCAGTTGGGTCAATAGCGTGCCTCAGAAGGAGGCCATCCGCTGACCTCCCGGCCTGAGCTACAGAGGGTCACCAGGCTGGCTGCCAAGACGGTTAAAGGAGATGGTGTTGCAAAGAGTGAGTAGCAAGGCCACAGGGCAGCCGGCAGAGTGTGCTGCCCATTTCTTCGCCTACTGCATTCAAGACCAGAATTGCTCTAGTGCACAAACCCACTGGAGGAACTAGAGTTGAAAGGGACTCTAAACACTTGTTGTTCAAAGTATGGTCCAAGAACCAGCACCATCAGCATCTTGTGGGAGCTTGTTAGAAATAGGGACCAGGGGGAACAGCAGATGGCGTAATTGCTACATCGCTGGACTCCCATGTAGTTGACCACAGTTCGAGTCCCAGACCTGGTGGCTTAAACTCATGCCAGGTGTGTGTGCATGCATGCCCAAGATCCTGAGAGGAGAATGGAGGAGAAGGGATTGCAGTGTGGCCATCCCCCCTGGGGGGTGATTTCTCACTTTCTGTCTCTCTGTCTCTCTGGTGAGCGCACACGCCCTATAGCAAAAACCTCTCCAAAGGAGAAAGAAATAGGGATCAGCAGATGGCATAATGGTTATGTCACTGGACTCCCACATAGTTGACTGTGGTTTGAGTCCTGGACCTGGCAGCTTAAAATTCACGCCAGACATGTGTGTGTGCATGCCCAAAATCCCAAGAGAAGAATGGAGGAGAAGGGATTGTGGCATTACCCTCCCCCCAGGGGGGTGATTTCTCACTTTCTGTCTCTCTGGTGAGCACATGTGTCCTATAGCAAAAACCTCTCTAAAAAAATAAATAAACAAATAGAAATAAAGAAACTCAGGTTTCACGGCACATTCACAGAAGCAGGATTTCTAGGGGAGAGGCTGATTACCTGTATACGTAATAAACTTCTCTCCCAGCCCCCAGGTGATTGTTATCATCAAAAATAAAGCTAAGGTACACTGAGACAGGGTCCCACCGACCCCAGCATAGACTCCAGTCTCTATCTTGAGGTGCTCTTTGTCTGGGCCTCCCCATATTGCTTTCCATCCATCTGCCATTCCTGGCTTTGCGTGAACTGACAGCTGCCCCATCACATGTCCACGTTGGACCAGTCAGCTGAGCTTGGGAAGGTCCGGTGATGTCGTGTACAAGGAGGGCTGGAGCCCAGCGGCTAGCTGCCCTCGTCTCAGCTCTCTGCAAGAGGTGCTGGCTCTCCTCTGCAGGCCTCCTGGTCTACCAGCTGTCCCTGAGAAACAGTGGGACAGGATTCCCATCCTGGAAGGCAGCCTTTTGTCTGGATCCTCAACCACATACACAAGCCCTAAGGACAAGGAATACCTGAGGACACCTTCTTCTTAGCCTATTAAACGTTTTCCAGGCCCGTCTGTGCCCATTCATCAACTGCCGGCCCAGGATGTCATAAAGATCTGTTGTTTCATTTCTAAGATAAGGTACGACCTTCCAGAAACGAAAGGTTCTTCTCTCAGTTGGAGCCCATGTCCCTTTAGTGAGCCATGGGTCTGCTTCATTTTTGGTGGCTATATGCATATGGGGTTAAGAGAGCTGAGAGAATATTGTGCACACCTCTCAACACCTTTGCTTTGCACTTCAACACACTTGCTTTAAAGTGTCACTTACAGGCCATTTAGGTTGGATGACAAACTAACTGGTTGTACTAAAATATAACTTCCACTCTGTCATGAACACCCTGGCTGGCACAAAAAAGGGCATTTAATCTCTCTCTTTCTCTCTCTCTTTCTTTCTTTTCTTTCTTCCTCTTTCTTCCTTCCTTCCTTCCTTTTTTAAAAAGATCTTTGCCAGAGGGCTCGTGCACTTGTCAAAGAGAGACAGAAGAAGGAAAACGAGAAATCATCCCCTCAGCTGAGATGGCCAGGTTGCGACCCCTTTTCCTGGATGTTGGGCGTGCACACACGCACCGGGTGTGAAATGCCCCGTAAGTATACAGGTGTGAACAGACTTTGCATCATGACGAGGGTCAATAGCCCCGTTTTGGCTCATGTGTTTATCCCAAGCTGTTTACCATGAAGCCTTGACCAAGCTAGGACTGACTGTTCTGTCAAACCAGCTGTGAAGACCGGCTCTTGCCAGTCCAGGTTCAAACTTGCTGCCCTCTAGTGGCCAACATGGACACTCCCCCCACATCCATTTACATTCACGCGTATGAAATGTAAAACATTTGCAGAAAATTATGGGAACATAAACTCCTAAAGGTTTGGCAGCAGTAGTCCATTGTCAAAAGAATGAGCACACACTACTGTGTGGAATTAATGGTGGTTTAAAAAAAAAAAAAACTTAGGTTATAAATTAGAGTTAAGTGGAACCTGCTAGCCGATAAATCATGCTATCCCCTCAACTGACGGACGTGCTGTTTCTGCTGGGGTTTATGGCTAATCCTTCATGGTTCGTGAGTCTGCAGAGAAGTAAATTGGGTCTGAAAGATGAAAAACGTCCCCTGAGGTTGCTCAGGCCCAGAACGTAGAGAGAGCTGCAGAACAGCCAGGCAGGAGCGGCTGCCCGCTCGTAGGCCACCTTCTCGCTCCCTCTGAAGCAACTGGGGTGTTTGCCATGTGTTTGCTGATCTGTTTCATGCCTGCGACCGTCAGGGTACTTGCATGGGAGAATAACCTCCACCTGCACCTCCCTACCCCTGTGGAGTCTGCACTGATAAGTTCAACTGCCCTGGGGAGAAATTGCTCAGACACGTGCACACACACACACACACACACACACACACAGCTTCAATGGCAAAGACTCTTCCAAGACTCCATGTGGCTCTGGAATGCCCACCAAGAAGTCGCTGTTTCTGGAACATGTCCTCAAAGTCTGGCTGGTGATTCTCTTGACTGATCAGAGCTGCCGCTGCCTCAGAGAACCACAGGACACCCACTGGCCACGGCCAGGCAGGCTGTGTGGGGACTCAGAAAGTGCTCCCCTCCTTGGAAGTGGATTTGAGTCTCTGAGAACTATTTTTTTTAAGACATAGTTTTGCTATAGGGCATGTGCACTTGTCAGAGAGACAGAGAGAGACAGAGAGATAAACGAGGAATCACCCCCCGGAGGTGATGGCCATTGGCAATCCCTTCTCCTCCATTCTCCTCTCGGGATCCTAGGCACGCACACACTGTGTCGGTGTGAATTTCAAGCCTATTAAGTAAGCCGCGTGCTTGGGGCTGAGCTGTGCATGCGTGCCTGGGGCGCGAGCGATGCACAGCACCCTTTAACCCACCGTCCCATCGTCATCCCGCTGACACTTACTCGTGCTCCTACCAAGTCCTATTCACGCAGCTGGTGGAGGTGTGAAGAGAAGGACCGAGACTCGTCCTCCATGACCTTCGTCCACAGATAGCTGCTCACTGTCACCTGAAGCTGAATCAGTCTTTCTCCGTGTCTTTCTCTCTTTGGGGGTTGGGTTTTAATCAAATAATCACACACAGGGCCAGCAAGTGGCATAATGGTTAAGATGCTGGATTCTCGGGACCAGCAGTTGGCATAAGCTATGTCTCTAGACTCCAATGTAGTCAACTGCAGTTCGAGTCCTGGACTCAGTGGCTTAAACTCACGCCGGGCGCATATGCATGCGTGCTCAAGATCCTGAGAGGAGAATGGAGGAGAAGGGATTGTGGCATGACCATACCCCCGGGGGGGTGATTTCTCTCTTTCTGTCTCTCTGTCTCTGTCTGTCTGGCGAGCACACGTGCTCTATAGCAAAAACCTCTCCAAAAATAAAGAAAGAAAATGCCACATGCACAGGTTTCCAGGATTGATACGTGTATATCATGTTTGTTGGTCGTCATTGAAACATGATACACAGATACACCACGATTTGTTAATTATTTATTCATCTATTTATCTTTGGAGAGGTTTTTGCTATGGGGCACATGTGCTCACCAGAAAGACAGAGACAGAGAGCGAGAAATCACCCCCCAGGGGAGGATGGCCATGCTGCATTCCCTTCTTCTCTTGGGATTTGAGCTCGCATGCACACGGCCCGGCGTGAGTTTAAGCCACTGGGCCTGGTCTGACTACATGCGAGTCCAGCGACATAGCCATTATGCCAGCCGTTGGTCCCAGCTTATTTATTTTTATGAGAACGCATGTACGTGCACTCAAGAGACCGAGAGTGAACGATGCACCCCACAGGGTCTCACCATGCCACATCCTCTAACCCCGGCCCTGCATCTCCTCAGAATTGTGGGGTCCTAGGCACACACCTGGGATGTTTTCAGGCCAACCCGGGGATCCGAACCTGCAGTCAGGCGTGGGTACTGCCTTGCCTCTGCACCACGGCAGCCAGGCCAGTTCCATGGGGCCATTATAAATTCAGCTGCTCGAAACATCCGCTGGTCTTCACATGGCCCCATGTTATTTTTCTCGAGTGTGCAAGAGGCGCTTCAACAATGGAAGTGCCTGTCCCTCTCTGTCCCCCTCCATGTGGCCCTGCTGCAGGACCTCAGTCCCCAGCCGTTAGTTACCACACCGGCTTCAGGAAAGTTCAGGCCACGCCTTCCCGCCTGCTGTCCACACGCTGCCCCATGACCTGCTCCTCCAGAACTGAGTGCGTTTATATGAACGGGCCTTAGGAAGGGGGTCCTGAGCTGGGAGCCAAATCTCGTTACCCTGGCCTGCTTCTGGTGCCAGGTTCCAGGCTCGGATGGGCAGCTTCTCTTCCTGTCACCGGCCCTGGCTTGGGAGGCTTTGAGACCTTGGGAAGCAACAGGTAGGCAGATGGCCTTAGGCCGCCGGGCAGGCCTCTGGCAGCCCACCCTACAGCCACTGCCAGGGTGGCCACACAGAAAGACAAACGATAAGGTAAACACTGAGATGCAATTTTTTTTTTTAAGTTTTGCTATAGGGCCCATGTGTTCACCAGATAGAGAGAGTGGGGAGAGGAAGAGAGAAATCAACCCCAGGGGATGGCCAGGCCCCGAACCCTTCTCTTCTGCTCTCCTCTTGGGATTTTGGGCAAACGCACGCACATATGCCTATGGCGATTCTCAAGCCACCAGGACTGGGACTTGAATTGCACGTTCGGCCATGTGGGATCCAGCGCCTTAACCTCTATGCCACGTGCTGGCCCTGATATGCAATTTTATGATCAACTTGTAACTCCATTATCTCAAAAATAAGCAATCACTAGCTGGTCCCCAGACTTCCACGCCAGACAGGGAACTCTGCGGGTCAGCCTTCCGTTGCCTCCTGCAGGATCAAAGGTGTCTCCTGTTGCAGGTCAGCATTTGCTTTGGAACTCTGTATTCGGTTTGTTCATGAGTTGCTTCTGTTTGTCCTGGCTGGTGTGAGTCACCGGACGCAGGGGCCCTTGTGTTCTAGCTCACCCACACCTGTGAGACCCTGCACACCTGGGTGAGCCTCACATGCCACCTTATCTGACGCTGACCAGGATGCCTCCGCCCACCAGGAGATGGAGCATGAGCACACACAGGGACGTGGCCTGCTGGTGGCCTTGCATTCCCCAGGGAAGGCCGCTCCCACCTGCAGGTGACAGAACCCTGCTAAGGGCAGGGGCAATGGGCCCTGACACGGGCTCCCCTGACGCTGTTATTGACTTGGGGCCTCGCTAGACTGTGTGTCACCGCGGTAATGCACCCGGTCACTGTGCAGGCGCTCTTGCAGGCTCTGCTCACGTGGGTTCCCTCCAGGATTCATTCCCTCCACTGAGAAGCCCCGTCCAGCCATAGGTGGGTGAAAAGCCTGGGTGTTTGCAGGACTCAAGCTCCTAGCACAGCTTCCTTTGAGGCGGTGATGGCTAGCCTACTGTCCTCGTCCTCCCTGCTCCACGTCCATGTTCTGGGCTCCCCAGGCTTCCTGAGTTGCTGGCAGCTTGATTTGGGGGTTTGAGAGAGGGTGGGCTCAGGGAGCTCCCACCTTGGTACCAGAGAATGCGGGTGGCGCCCAGACACTGGTGAGGCCCCTAACCTCCTCCAAGGTGGTGTCTCAGCGGGGTGAAAGTTCATGGCAGAATGGAGCGTGGTCTGTCTGCCACCCGAAGGCGTGGCTGACTCCCAGGGATCCAGACAGGCCTGGCCTTGCCCGAGTGCCTGCGTTAGGCCAAGCACTTGCCCTGTTCAGTTTCACCTGATGCTTGTCGACACCCGAGTCATTGCCCTCATCTCACAGATGAGGAGACAGGTCCAGAGACACAATGTGGGGTTTGGAAGACCTTGGACGAGCAGGGGCAAGCCGATGTGGAGCCCAAGCCCCTGTACCTGGTCTCGTCCTGTCCCACGCCACCACTGCACTGGAGGCCCCAGCTCTGATGTAACTGACCACGGGCCCCGAGACAAGTCCCTTAGCCTCTCTGGCCCTCAGTGTGCTCATCTGGGAAATGGGAATGATAAATCCTGCTCCCCAGAGCGGCTGTAAGTATATAAAATGAGCGTCTCTGGCCCAGAAGCCTCAATAAAGGTTCCAACAGCTACTTTCTAGTAGCCACTTTGGACGGCGGTCACAGGTCACAGGATCAACCAGTAAAGTCACCTTGGAGCCCCTTCATGGCCATCTTCCACTTCGCAGACGAGGCGGCAGCCAGCGAGGAGTGTAGCTGGCAGGAGAAGCAGGAGTGAGTCGGCTGGAATGCAGGTCACCTGAGTCCATGTTCATGCTCTTTCAAAAACGGACTCAAGATGGGACCGGCATTTGGTGTAACAGCTATGTCGCTAGACTCCCATGTAGTTGACCATGGTTCAAGTCCCGGACCCGGTGGCTTAAATTCACACCAGATACGTGTGTGTGCATGCCCAAGATCGCCAGAGGAGAATGGAGAAGGGACTGCGGCGTGCCATGCCCCCTGGGGGATGACTTCTCGCTTTCTGTCTCTCTGTCTCTCTTTGTGGCGAGCACATGTGCCCTATAGCAAAATCCTCTCTAAAAAAACCAGACTCAAGTTCATCAGAGCTGCCTTTTATGAGAAATGGTTATTGAAGTCTTGCCTTCTGCGCTTCCTGGCCATGTTTGAGGTTGCTTATGTTTTTCTTGTCATTGGCATTGCTGGTTTTTTGGGGGGTTTTTTGGGGGGGAGGGGGGAGGCGACAGAGGGGGCAGAGAAGCACCAAATCACAGATGAGGAAAAGTTGCAAAGGCAAGGTAGACACGGGCCGACGCCCCTACAGCTGTGGTTCTCAAAGTGGGGTCCCTGGGTCAGTATCGGCTTTGCTTGAAGGCTTCTTAAAAATGCACTTTATTGGGTCCCAACCCAGACCTCCTTAATCAGAAACTCTGGTGACGAGGCCCAGCAATCTGTGTTTTAACCCTCAGGTGATTCTGCTGCAGGGTTGAGTCCCACAGCCACCACTCGAAGGCCACCGCTGGAAAGTACCCCCGTCTCCCTCAACCCAGGCATCGCAGCTGTTTGCCACTCTTTTCAGTTAACACACACGTGAAGGCTGAGTCCGTGTTACACACAGCACTCCTGACAGAGGCCAGCACTGCAGCACGCGGGGAGGCAGCAGAGACAGACCCGGTTCGTCCCCACGGAGAAAGCAGGCTCCGGGCACGATGGGCCTAGATTCCACTTAGCTCTGCCGTTTCTGCAGTCCCCTTCAGGCCTGGAGTCCAGCACAGATCAGCTTTGTCACCACCCGTTCTCTCTCTCTCCTGGGGCATGGGCTCTCCTCAGCAATATGGGAGCAAAACTATGGCCCGGACAGACACGGGGGACAGCTAGACACAGCCAGGTCGGTTCATTCGGCAGCAGGCCCACGAGTTCACCGCAGGCTCCTGCACCCTGCAAGTCTCTGTCCGGGTTCAACTGGCTGGTCCCTCTGCATGAGGTATGGGGCAGCCACCCAGACTCCTATAATGAGACGAAGGCAGATGTGTGACCTAGCTCTGCTGCACCTGAGCTGCGGACTCTTAGCTAAGTCATTTACAGTGTTTCCTCCATTGTAAAACAGAAATAGTACCAGCCCTCCTCAGGGTTGTCTGGTGGACTAGATAAGATGATGTGTATGGAAGCTCTGGCCCAGTGCCTGGTCAGGGACTGGGCGATACCTATTATGACTCCATTTCCTCTTGTCACCTACACCTCAGTCAACAGGATCTGGAGTCAGAAAGCAGAAAAACAATTTCATTTAAAGCGGAATAATTATAAAAATGTGACACGGTGAAGCTGTTTGTTTTAACTTATGCATATGTATTGCTTGCTCTTTTGAACTCTCTTGAACTTTCTGGTGTTTTCTTTAAGAATGTTCCCACTCGGACCAGCAGGTGGTTAAGGTGTTGGACTCCCACATGGCCAACTCGGGTTGGAGTCCTGGACTGGGCAGCTTGGAAATCACTCTGGGTGTGTGCGCGTGAGCGTGCATGCCCAAAATCCCAAGAGGAGAATGGAGAAAAAAGGATTGCAGCATGACCATCCCCCGCCGGGGGCAATTTCTCACCTTCCCTCTCTCTGTCTCTCTCCAGCAAACGCATGCACCCTATGGCAAAAACCTAAAAAAATAAATAAAGTTCCCATCAATCTGGGGCCGCATGGTGGTGCAGCGGTAAAATGGGATGTTCTCTGAGGCTAGCCCACATGCCAAGGTTCTAGGTTGAAGTCTGGAGACCTCCCTGAGTAGGCCAGGCCTGAGGCCGACAAGGAAAATGAAAGGAGAGCTCTCTGAACTTGAAATAAAAAGATACAGAAATGGAAAGCAGACAATAAAAGAAAATTTAGGGATTAATCCACGTTGCAGGGGTCAGAGGGTCATCTGACTGATAGCAATTCTAGATAGAAAGGACAATGGAGGGGAAGGCATTTGCAAAGACATGACGCCACTGGGGCGCAGCGGTGAAACACAGAGGCGAGCTACAGGGGAAGGCTGACGGCACCTCCCTGGGTGCAAGAGGCACACACAGGCTCGTGACCCGGGACTGGCCAAAGCGTGGATGAGCCGGAAAGACAGAGACAGAGACAGAAAGTGAGAAATCACCCCCCAGGGGGGATGGTACCGCCACAATCCCTTCTCCTCCATTCTCCTCTCAGGATCTTGGGCACACACGCACATGTGCCTGGCATGAGTTTAAGCTACCAGGTCCAGGACTCAAACTGCGGTGGACCACATGGGAGTCCAGCAATGTAGCCATTATGCTAATTGCTGGTCCTGAAATAAATACTTTAAAAAATAGAAATAACAGAAGAAAATGCCACAAGGTTCACAACTGCCCACTGTAGAGCCCAGTGAGTATCCAGCACCCATAACTGACCCGGGGAAGGGCAGAGCGACATTCACATAGGCCTACGGCGTGATCGGATGCGGGGTGGGCCACATCCGGGAGGGCAGGATGTTTCGGCGAGGACGTGGAGCCTGGGTGTGGTGGGTTACACTGTCACGGCTGGGGTAAGCACACTCTGTAACGTTTGCACATCACCTAAGCATGCGCTTCTCAGTCACGTCCCTGTCACTAACACACGAGTGCACAGAATGTGCGAATTGAGAAAACTGTAAAAGAATAGCTAGGACAGAAGGCCCCAGGGCCCGTAGGGAGGCAGACGTCTCTGGAAAGGTTTTTCAGAGGAAAGGAGTTCCGTGATTACGAGGACCTGGAGAATAACGATAACAGCGGGCATTGAACCAAACACCGGCATCGTGAGGGCAGATTTCGTTTAATTTGTTCCGCACAATCTCCGGCACCGAGAACAGCGCCTGGCACGTAGCCGACACTGAAATTCAAGTCTGATGGAGCATTTGGAGACAGGCAGACTAGGTTATATCGACATCTGGTGGCCAGCATGGTGTTTGGTGAAGCCAGATCCCGCATGGCTCTGTGGTTCGAGCCCCGGACTCGGCAGTTTGGAAACAACACAGTGGGCACAGGGCCAAGGGGAGAATGGAAAAGGGACCGCAGCCTGGCCACGCCCCCTGGGGGTGTTTCCTCCCATTCCTTCTCTCTCCCTCTCTCCTTGCAAGCACACACGCCCTGCCACAAGCGTAAAACAGATAAGGGAAATCGAATGCAGGCACCATTTCCATATAGGTGATGCCTCAGTGCAGAAAACAGGAAGCGAGCGAGCGCCATGGGCAGGAGTGCCATTGTGGAAGAGGAGGGGGACTGACCCTGGGGGTGGCCATGCCTTAAAGGAAAGAGCCAGCAGAAGGGACAGAAGGAGCAGCCAGAGCTCAGCATCGGGAAAGCCAGGGGAAGAGAGTTCACAGCGAATGAGTACAAGCCCGGATGTGCCCTGGTTGAGAGCAATTGTAACAGATGAATGGATGCACACTGAACAAAACGTGGGTTTGCAAATGTCCTCTTCCTTAACAGCTTAGAAAACAGCAAATGCTCCCTATGCCATGCCATTCTGATTCCAATCCTTTCCTCTTCCAATCGCCACATTTATTGCAAACATTCAAAAGGAAAAATACAACCGCAGAGCTTCAGGTCGCCAGGTTCCAGCACGACAGTCAAGTCTGAGCTTGGTCCATGGAGAACGAAACTCCGGATACTGCGCCCAAGAGCGTGCTCTTGACACACCCTTAGCCAGTGTCCAAATCACAGGGGAAGAAAAGGCTGAACATCACAGTCCAGGAAGAGTCCTCGCTGTGGAGACCTCCTCGGAGCAGGTGGTCTGCAGTGTGCCGGAGGTGTGCAGTGTGCGCCTGCATACGCGTGTCCACATTTCAACTCTCATGCACGAAGGATGCGAATGCCCCAGATTCTACACTGCATCTTGGGGTCCTCCCTCCCTTTGCTTCTGCCCGCTCCCCTCACCTCTGCAATGCCTTTGCCGAGAAGGCACATGGGTGTGTGGGTTTCATCGGATCTCCAGTCCCAGCGAAGGGCAGCCAGCCATGTCTCTGCAGAAAGCCCCTTGGAGTGAGGAGTCAGGCTTGCATGAGAGACAGCAGAGGAAGGGTGGGAGACGGAAACCAGGCCAAGCCTGAGAACAAGGCTCGCCAGAGAGACATGGAGACAGGAGACAGGGGCAGGGGAGATGGGAACCAGGCCAACGCCGACAACAAAACTTGACAAGAGAAAGCATAAAGATCCTGCCCATGGCCATGAGACCTTCGGTGGACCAGGATGGACCTTGGTTTCATTAGCATGCTAGGAAGCACGGCACTGGGGAGAGATCTTGGATGTTAATGACACACACATGTTCAAGCATGTTCAGCCAGAGCATGAACACACATATGTCCACCCTACACCCTAAGCATTCAACCTCCTTGGTGAGTACGCACGTGTATCTCCCATGTCCGGAGAGGTCCTCTCTTCTGAGGAATATTCTCTCTTTTCCCCAACACTTGGGAGTATTCCTGTGATGAAGTCACCCTGAGAGACCCTCACCCGGGTGACAGCTCCAGTCTGAGGACCGCCTCTGTCATGACATCTCAGCAGACCCCTTTCTCATATGGGTTTCTGAGAGAACACAGGCCCCCTGAATTTCCAAAACTGCTCCGAGTAACGATCAAATTAAAATTTAGGGTTTTGACATAGGGCACCTCTACTTACCAGACAGGGAAAGAAAGAGAGAACTCACTCCCTAGGGGAGGGGATATGGCCACACCACACCCCCTTCTCTATGTTGCTCTCAGGATTTTGGGCACACATGTACATGCACCTGGCATGAATTTCAAGCTGCTGG